TTTCTATTTTTGAACACACATGTCCTTTATTTTGTACATCAGGAAGGGGGGGCTAGGGAGGAGTAAGTGGAAGGACGTGAGGGAGGAATGGGGTACGAGTCCCCGATGGGGAGGACTGGGGTGGCTCTGAGGGCTCCTCGGGGTGGAAGCTCTCCTGCAGCTCCCCGATTGACCCCCCCTCCGTGGATGGCAGCCTGCGGCAAGTGCAGCTGGGCTGATGGCCGAGTGCTGTGATGTGCCGAGCGTGGGCACTCAGGGCACTCCAAGCCAGGACTGCTTTGCTGTCCCTCATCGAGTTAGACAAGCAAGCGGGGAACCCCTGAGAACTGTCTGTCCGGGGTGGGGGTTGGGTCCCTTTAAACACAGCCCTCGGCTAGCCTGAGACAGTCCCGAGTCCTAACCTGAAGCCCTGCCGGCACTGCTTCTGGCCATCCTTAACCCTGGTTCAGGGTCCACTCAATGTGGACATGCTAGTTCGAATTAGCATTTTGCTAATTCGAACTAGTTTTAAGGTCTAGATGCACTAGTTCAAATTAGCTTAGTTCGAATTAACTAATTCGAATTAAGTTAGTTCGAATTAGTGCTGTAGTGTAGACATACCCTGAGGGCTCCTCGGGGTGGACTCTCTCCCACAGGGCCTCCTGGATCCTAACAGCCCCCCGATTGACCCTCCGGATGGCAGCCTGCAGCAAGAGCAGCCGAGCTGATGGCAATGACCCCATGAGACACACCAGCGTGTCCAGGGGCAGCTCTGGCTCTATGTGGCAGAGTGCTGTGGTGTCCCGAGTGAGGGCACTCCAAGACAGGAATGCTTTGCTGTCTCTCATTGAAATAGACAAGCAAGCAGGGAACCCTGAGAACTGTCTGTCTGCGGTGGGGGTAAGGTCCCTTTAAGCACGGAGCTCAGTTAGCCTCAGGCAACAACCCCACACAAAAAATCCTAATCTGATGCCCTGCCAGCACTGGTTCCGTCCAGCCTTAACTTCGGTTCAGGGTCCACTCAGTGTGGATGCGCTATTTTGAAATAGCAAAACGCTATTTTGAAATAGATTGTGTATAGATGCGTTATTTCAAATTAGCTTAATTCAAATTAACTATTTCTAATTAAGATAACTCAAATTAACGCTGTAGTGTAGACGTACCCTAGCTGTGTTAACATCTTCAAGTCAAGGTTTAAAGACTTCAAGTTACAGAGAATCCATCATTAGTTTAAACCTGCAATGTTCTATATCACAGGTTGCAGAAGATGATGAAAAACCTGCAAGATCTCTGCCAATGTGACCCAGTGAATAATTCCTTCCCAACCCCAAACATGGAGATTTGTTTAAAAAAAAAATCAGTTATCTTCTCCAAGGACAGCAGATTGGTTTTACATAATCTACCTTTTATAAAACCTTGTTGTATTTTATCTCAATTAGCATTAATCTATGTCCTTAACTACCTTCTCTTTCAAAATTTGTTCCAAGACCTTGCATACATTTGAGGTCAAACTAACAAACCTGTAGTTTCTTGGATCACTTTTCTTCCCTTCCTAAAAAAAGGAACTATTAATATTCAACTTAGATCTTAAATAACCTTTATGTGAAAATAGAATACAGTGAAATATGATTACCTTTTTGTGCTTTGGCTGTGATTTCAAAGTACTTGACAGTAAGATCTTGAATAGAAAGGACAGCCATGTGGGCTTTCCTCTGCCAATCTGCATCTTCTTTTTGTAGGCTCTCAATTCTCCTAGGACCCAGGTAATCATTCTCTATGGAGATCTGAAAATAGATCAGTCCATCGTTAACATCAACAAATTAAAGCTGTCCCTGTTTTGTCAATGGCAGCTAATTGCAATCAACCGTGATTTTTAATGAAATTAAAATGCTCATTTACACTGAAAAAGGACAAGTCAAGGCCCTCACTAACATTCTTACTGTGAGAACATAAACTCAATACACAGAACTGGTGAATAAACAGCCCATAATATGTTGCAACCAAAGCCACCCTCGACAAGTCCAAATAGTTTAAAAGCTTCAACCAGGCAGGCTAAACTCCCTATGAAGGTTTGCAGTCTGAAGTCAAGGCGAGTCATATTCAGAGGTACAATTTTCCAGCAAATTGCTTATTTGCCACAAACTGTTTCTTTAGCTGACTCCGAATTGTTAAGAGAATGTGCGCAGTTCAGTGTCTACCAAAAGACATTTTAGTAAATATTTAAACAAAACATTGTGTTTCAACCCATGTGAAGTTAATTTTGTTTAGATTTTAGATTTTTGGAATTTTAACAAAAGCTAAAGAGGACTATTTTCAAAAGAATGTTTTGAAGAAGTATTGGAGGGGGAGGATGACCTCCCTTAGGATGTACGTGCAATACCCTCCCCCTCCCCCCCCCGCCTGAAAGAAAAATGCCTGACAAAAAATAGGTTAATTGACTTGCCAAGCTCCCAAAGTTAGTTTTTGGACAAGTCAGAATTTAAACTCACTTTCGCAAACCAGTACTTAATATATGAGACTATTATTCCTCCCCAACTGACTCTTCTACCAGTAGCAACAGTTTCTACTGGCCAAATTAAGTCTTTATTTACACAAGTGTACCATTATTGCATTTAAATTGTGCCCTGAGGCAACACCTCTTCATGCAGTGTATTTGTAAACCATTCTGTTCACGGGCAAGAACAGAATCTATTTATTCCTGGTAGCACTGCAGAGCTAGAATGTTTGAGGGAGAGTAAAGAGCAATACAAATGTGCCCATCAATTTTGAATATACCCTAGGAGCAGAATATATTGAGTAATATGCCATTTTTGCATAGCCTCTCCAGATTACAAAGGCATTTTATATTAAATCTGATTTATGGAAGAGGTCTTGAGATTAACATTTTATTATAAAAGTTGGAAAATCAATCACAGAGAAGAAGCAAGTCAGCAAATCACTTCGTATAGAATGTTAACACTCTGAAGCAGCAATGTGCAACCCAGACTACAGGTTGGAACACCTTGGTACAGCACTCTCGGGACAGAGAATTTGCCAGACCAGGGGAGGTCCCCTGCCACCAGTCCCCAAACTCCCATCTTGTGGCTACTCATTACTAACCCAGCAGGCACCCTGCCTCTATCCCCCAGGGTATGTCTACACTACCCCGCTAGTTCGAACTAGGAGGGTAATGTAGGCATACCGCACTTGCAAATGAAGCCTGGGATTTGAATTTCCCGGGCTTCATTTGCATAAGCGGGGAGCCGCCATTTTTAAAACCCCGCTGGTTCGAACCCCGTGCAGCGCGGCTACACGGGGCTCGAACTAGGTAGTTCGGACTAGGCTTCCTATTCCGAACTACCAGTACACCTCGTTCCACCTATTCTAAGGTGTACCTAGTTCGAACTAGGAGGGTAGTGTAGACATACCCCCAGCCACCCCGCTAGCCTGGCCAGGCTACTTGCCCAGCTGCTGATGGTTCCCTGTGCTGTAGGGGATTGCAACGGGGCTCTGGCCCTGCACTGTCCCACTGTCTGCAGCTCTGGCTGTTCTTCCTGCCATTAGGCTCCTGGGCTCTCTGTTGAGAGATCAGAGTGTGCCGGTTTTCAGAAGTGCAACCTATAGTGAGTGGGCTGAATGAGTGGCCCTCCTTCGTCTCAGCTGGATGTAGCGGTGCACAACCTGCAGCCTGCGTGCCCTGTCTATGCCCCTTCCTCACATGCCTCTCATACACCGTAGCACCACAATCCCACACTTCCTATTCCTCCCCCTTCCTTACAGCACTTTTGGGGCACCATGAATCTGCTGAATAGCACTCCATTCCCCCCATATTCCCCTACCTTCTAGAGTATGAACAGCTGTGATCAGCTGATTTGTGGTGTTCAAGCTCTGGGAGGGACAGGAGAAGTGGGGATGGAGCACTAATCAGCAGATTCATGGCACACCGAAAGTGCTGAGAGAGGGAGGAGTAGGAAGTACAGGGCTCCAGTGTGCAATAGGTGCATAGGGGAGAGAGACAGACATGGGGTGTAAGGACTGCAAGTAGAACCCCAGTAGGCTGCATGCAGCCCGCAGGCAACAGGTTGCCCCACCATTACACTGGAGTGACAGATTTGATTGATGGCAATTCCCTTTTAAGAAAGTTGGAATTTATTGAGAATCTAGGTTGTTGGCTACATCAACATTTTCAAATGTGCCACTGAACTCTTGCTGCCCCTCTGACAGTTTTATGTATAAGATACATTTTTAGGGTAGTTTCTTAATTGTGAGCTCAAGAGTAAAAGGCGAGTGAAAGTATTAAATGTCAAAATTACCTATAAACAAAAAATGTTGATAGGAAAAGGTACAAATGTGAGAGTGAATTATTCCAAATGAGAATCCTTATTGATATAACTGAAGGACGACAAAGATCATGCCCAGCAATACAAAAACTGAGTCCATAAACCAAAATTGTTGTAATAATTTAGGCTTCTGGATAGATAAAACAGTGCAAGGATGAACTACTATGCCCACTACTCTCTTTGTGGTCCTTAAAAAGAAAGGAAAAAGTTGGCAGAGAAGCAACTAGAGGAACAAATGCTCTCAGAAATAAGGGGAAGAAATGAGCTTCGCTATCAGGATTGCCACTCCGACACTCTCTTGGGATCACCTGTAACATTGCTGGACCTTTGTCATCCTGATCCCAAGATATCAGTCTGGTCAAGACATAAGACTCACTGCTGCAAGCCCCACCCCTGGGGCTGGGTGAGATTTAGCAGGAGGCCTAGACACATTCCCCAAGTATAACAAGAGCACAGGAATGAGAATCTCCCAGCAAATGCGCCTCCATTCTGCTGGAAGCATTCCCTGCAACCTCCCACAGGAGCAAACTTAGTGCAGGAAGGCTCTTCACAGCATGAGTGTGCCACACAAAGGCCTTGTCCACACTACCTTGTCTACATTGGAGACACCATAATCGACAGCATGATCAATGCACTATGGTATATATATCCCACAGCGCAGTGTTGTGGGAAGGCAGAGATGATTGCTGCCCATTTTGGGATTCCCTCCAAGTTCTCCCACAGCTTCCTCAGCTGCCAGCAACAATAATTAGAAGCTCGGTGAGTTCTCCATCTTGTGCTGAAGAATGTCAAAGCAGCTCAGCAGACTGTCTCCCTCTTCCTACAGCAGCAGTCTGCCTTCTGCTATGTGCTTAGGGCAAAACAGGGCAGAACAGGAGCATTCCAATAATTTTGTTCCCCAAACAGAACAGCTCACTCAGAAGTTAGATAATTTCAGGAGCTTTGAAAGGGGAGGGGCACACACCTACAGGCATCAGAGAAAACATTGAACAGATCCATCAGGGCAGACATGGTGGGTTACTGGTGGAAGCCAATACTGCCACAAAATAAAACAGCAGTGACTACACTGGCTCTCTACTCCAGTCATCTGAAGAAGTGGGTTGTGCCCACGAAAGCTCATAATACCATTTACATGTTTCGTTAGTCTTTAAGGTGCTGCTAGACTATTCGTTGTTTAAGTTTTTACACTGGCTCTTTGTCAATAATAAATTTGAGGAGGGGCAAAGAGAAACAGTTTCTTGCAGTACTAGAAGTTTTTTGTTGCCAAAACGGGGCATTTTTACCAACAAGAGCAGAGCCAGCCCAAGGTATGGGCCAACCGGGCTACGGCCCAGGGTGCCCCATTGTAAGGGGCACCGTGTGGGGCTGCCAGGCCGGGTGGCAGGGCCACACATACGCCATGTGCCCGGGGGGGGGGGGGGCCACGCATGTGTCGCGCTCCCAGAGGCAGCGCCACGCTCCCGGGGTGCACGAATGGCTCGGGCCAGCCCTGAACAAGAGTCACACTGCAATGTGTACACTCTCTGTCTTGTCACCAAAGGCAGTTTTTGGCAACAAAACCTGATAGTGTGGAAAAGGCTTAAATCTCCATTCAGCATGTATAAATGAAGATTTTCAGAGGCTCAATAATTTAGGCAAAAAAACCCACATTTCGAACACCATGTCATAACCCCCTCCACCTAAATTCCTGCCCAGGCCTGACATCCCCTCCTGCACTCCAATCCCTTACCCCAAACTCCCTTCTTCCCCCCACCACCATCCCAGACCTCACACCTCTTCCATTAATATCTTGAAAGAGCATAACCCATGACTGCTCATCAAATTCTTGGAGTGGACCCTCCATCAAAAAATTATTGCCCACCCCTGGGATAGAGCAACCACGTGGAATGAACATATTTGGAATGAACATATTTTGAATAAGTTTATCAATTCCTCCTTTAGATTTTAAAATCAGGAAAAACTGGAATTAGAACCTGTGGCTGTGTTTTTTTCTTGGAGCCTCCTTCGCTGCTCCCAATGCTAGACAAGTAGTATCTCATGAGAGAGGGGTCCCCAGAGAAGGGTGGAAAGAGGTCATAGCCCAATCTGACAGTGTCTAGGACCCAGTCATCTGATGTTATTGAGCCCAGGCATCATACAAGGGGCCAGCTTGTCCTCAAAGAAATGGGGGGGGGAGGGAGAGACACCAAAGAAAGGGCGGGACAGGAACAGTACTCTAATCCAAAAAAATCAAAATGGGTACTTAGTAGTGCAACCCAGAGCTTAAGTGCTACCTCTTGAGATGCCTATACTTCTTCCTGGGGTAGTCTAGCTATCTCGCGGTGGGAGAAGGGGAAAGGATCACACAAAGAGATGCTATAGCCTGTAGGGCTGCTCTTGCTGCACCCTGTAATGGCATCTACCCACAGGCAGCATATATAATGCCTGAAGAGATCTAATAGTACTCTCTGAATCCTTAAAGGAAC